AATTGACGAAGGAAACAAAACGAACAAGGAAAAAAAGAAAAGTAGATGTAGATGTAGAAGAGGAAGAGCAAGCGTATAGTAGGAGATACATATATGTGGGGTGGAGGGTGGAGCGGTTAGCGGCTAGCTACTGCGTCTATTGACATCAATCAATTGTCCATTTTGAAAGACGCACAAAAAAAAGCAATCAGAGCTAATTTTAAAACAGAAATACATACATCAATATATCCCCTTTCTAGATGTTATATATGTATGTACATATAATATTATCTGTATATATAATAGAAATGATAGCAATAATTTCAATTAGAATTCGATTTTTCAGAAGCAGAGTTAGATGAATATACATATGCTTTATAAGTAGCCTATCTATAGTATTTTTTGCTCTCTCTCTCAGTTTCTACCTTTGTATACTCCTGCAATGCATATACATACAGTCCATTCTTATTTATTGCTTTAATGCTTCGAACCTCTCATTTAAGCGCAGTTATCACGAGTTCCCTACGTAGTCTCTTATATCTTTCAAACATTCGATGATTCGTATTATTTTGAGAGACCCTCGAATTTCGAATCGACTGTATGAATATCCAAATTACATTTCTTCAGGATTATATGAATATAAACTATCAGCTGTCATTATTTTCATTGATTTTTGCCTCTGTTAGGTGAGTTTTTCTTCAATTTATAGAGAATTTCCCAGGCCAAAATCCTTTTATAGTTAAATGAATATTAATAATTCAATTATAATTTTCACTGAATTTTACTGACGTTAGAGTTCGTTTTTATCCAATTTACAGGGTATTACCCAGTCGTAAACGGCTTTTAAGATTTTATTGGACATAAATTATTATTATTATTAAATTTTGGTCTCTATTAAGTGAGTTTTCTAATGGATATGAAAATTAATCATTTTCATTAAATTTAGCCTCTATTAAGTGAGCTATCTTCGACTTACAGGGTATTGCCCAGTCGTTAACGGCTTTTCAGATTTAAATTAATATGAAATATATGAAATATATAGTACATATAAATCATTTTTATTATATTTAGCCTCTATTAAGTGAGTTTTCTTCGACTTACAGGGTATTTCCCAGTCATAAACTCCATTTTTTTGGGTACAGCTTGTTAGCTTAGTTTAGCTAAATGACCTTTGCAAATGGCAAATTGAAACTCGTTTTCCCTCCAAGCCCTTTTTGCCGCTATTCTCTTGGCACTTCCCACTCCCCTCCCTCTCCATCTCCATCTCCCTCTCCCCTCTGGCCTAACCGTTCTCCATTCTACATTCGGCTAACTGCATGGCATGCCATGACATTTTCCAGTCGTCGACTTCTTTTGCGGTCGTCCGTTGTGTGCGGCCATTTAGCTCTCTAATTGCTGCCATTCCGCAGCGCCAAAGCCGAAGTGAGAGAGAAAGAGAGAGAGAGAGAGCGAGAGAGGCGCGCGACCTCAGCGCCAGTAACTGTTCGTTCGCAGTTGCTGTTATTCGAATACCCTGCACTGTCAATGGCCCGCATGGGGTATATCGAGCGCAACGACTATACGCACATCACTCGAACGAATACAGGGTATCTGCGGTGCGTTCAACTGTCTCTTCGTCTCGTTGCGGCAGGTCAAAAGTGTCAAATTACGTACAATTATTTTTAACTTAAGCAACGTGCGTGCTGTGTTTGTGCCCCACCTTACACCCCCGTCACGCCTCCCGCCCACACACAGACACCTCCAGCCGTAGCACTCCATCCTCTCTCTCTCTCTCCACCTTCGCTCACCCACACTCTTACACGCTTTTAACATTGCTTTTAACTTCACTTCACTTCGTTTTCAATCACTTGTTCTCCTCTCCCTGCTAGTCTATCTCCTTCTCCTTCTCCTTCTTCTCCTTCTTCTTCTTCCTTTGCTGCGCTGCCCACTCTCGCAGCACTTCAACTTAAGTTCACTTCACTCGTCCGCTTAGTCATCTTCGGTTGCCTTTTTGTCTCTCCTCTCTGTCTGGCTTCTGTTCTCTCTCGCTCTCTCTCTCTCTCTGTCGCACTCTTTGCCTTTCAAGTGCTGCCCACTTCTTCGTTTGCCGCAACCGCAAAAACTAGCTACATCATTGAAAAAAAAAAGAAAAAAACATTTTGCGCCTTTTGTTTCGCTTTCCGGGTCGCATTTGCTTCATTTGCTCCCGCTCCCTCTCCCTCTCCCTCTCTCTCTCTCTCGCTCATTGCTTGTTTTAGTCTCTGTTAGTCTTTCAATTCTGTTACCCATTTATCAACTTCTCTGACTACTCACTCGCACTGCCTCTCTCTCTCTCTCTCACACACTTGCTCCACTATGCAATCATACAATTTCCTTATTCGCATTTAAATAGTTTTTAGATATATTATTATTATACATACATACATACATACATACATACATATATATTAACATTATAGTGCTTTATTATATAATATTTCATTTTGTGAAGGTCGTCAAATTCTCGGACTCGAAAACTTTTGATCGAATTCTACGTGAGTTTTTGTACAATTTAGTTTTAGTTCTTTGTTTTGTTTTTATTGTTGTTTCTTCTTCTTCTTCTTCTTCTGTTCGATCGTTAATTGTGCTGAAGAACAATGAAATGGAATTCGAAGGCTAAATGCGTGCAGCGCTCTATTAAAAGAGCTTTGCAATCTATGAACAAATTCAACAAATACTAGGTAAAGTCCATAAACAAGCTATCCAACTATTAACAACTATGGATATATGTATGTATGTATGTATGTACTTATATATTTACATATGTATGCATTTATATTTGTTTTTGGTAAATTCCACAGTTAAATACATTTGAAATGTGAAGTGAATAATCGGGAAATAATTCCATTCTCATTCGTATACCTCTGTTTGTGCTCCTTCTATTCTTTGTCTTTATTCCTCTAGCTCTATCTCTATATCTGTCTGTCTATCTCTGTCTCCCCATCTCTATCTTTCTCTTTCTCTATATATCTCTCTCTCTCTTTCTTTCTCTGTCTCTCTCTTTTTCTATCTCTACATATGTATATCTCTCTCTTAATCTCTTTATCTCTCTTTCTCCTTTCTTCCATTTCACTCTGTCTTTCACCAAGTCTCTCCTCTCTCCACTCCCTCCTCACTCCCTCACTTCCTCATTCTCTCTCTCTCTCCATCTCCACTTCCACCTCTTTTCCATACTTTCCCTTCTCACTCCCCATATCTCTATCTCGCTTCACGCCCATACCGCTACCTTCCCTATATAATGCTTAAAAAAAAAGAATTGGTTCAATTCCCTTATCAGAATTATGCATATGTATATTTGTACATCCATATGTATGTATATTTGTATATATAGTATACATAGTAGTTCTTCCCTCCGGGCTTATCTCGCGCGTATTGCAACAATTTGGGTTGCGGACGATTCGCGCCGCGTCTTATCGACTAGAGCCAAAGGGGCGTTGGGAAGCGAACAGCAGGCGGGACTATTCCAAAAGACCCAAAACAGGAAATGAGATTCTATGTTTGTTGTATGAATCGGGGCATAGTACTATACCATATATACTATATCAATACATATGTATATATTTATATTCAATTAACTAAGTGCACATATATACACATATATTAACTGGGCATAGTACGTGAATATATAGTATATATAATATATTACTATGTGTAGATGTGTTTTTCCCATACATATGTCCTCTATTATATATGAATGTACATATGTATGTATATGTACGTATACATCCCCATTGAATAACTATTATTAATACAATTTGAAATCAACTCAAAATCTCATTAATATAGATCCGCTTCTTAAGCCTCCTTAGGCTTGAGCTTGGGATTATTATGATTTCCAAGGTGGTAAATAAAGTAGGTTCTAACGATTTTCAAGCAACCTTAGGTATAACCGGAAGGATCTCTAAACATACAAATAAGTTTTCCCATGAATGTAAGTTTGAGGACCAGAATTTTCATCTCTATAACCGTCCGCTTATAATCGGATACTACTGTATATATTTTTGCCAGTTGCGTTTATTCATAAGGCTTGTTGCGATCTACTCTGCCATGATCATCGCTATAACGAAGTACTCTGACTGTAGAATCACTAAAGTAATTTTTCTACATATACATAATTTAAGCTCCTTGTTAATTTTTGGGATTGACTTTCAAGGGATTTGGTTTTATATGGCGAACTATCCACCTTTCATTGTTTTCTGTTACATCCGAATTTATCGATTTCGAATTGTTGACTACTGAATATACTGAATTCAGCTATATCAGCATAGGTTTTTCCATTATTGTTATGGAAAAGAAGATGTTTGCTTTATGGTTCTTAAATGAAGCTTTTAGATTATATAAATATATCAGAAAAAACTAAATCCCACTTCCAGTTGCAGTCTCAGCTATGTCCAATCGGAAACACTCTTGCTATACCCAAAAACTTGATCAATGTAAGATTTTCAGTGAGACCATATTTTTGTACATATCGGTGTATGACCCCATTGGGCGTGGCAACACCGTTTTGTATGAACATTTTAGTGAATTATTCTGCATTTCAGACATATATTTTGTGCTAAAATGGGGATTACTCCAGAAGTTAGGAACTAAATTTTCAATTCATATTAGCTGTACGATTTTCAGTGACGCTCACTGTCAGTATATACATACATACATACATATTTATATATGTATACACAGTCGAGTCTGTAAATGGGAAAATCGCAATAAATCGAAAACAAAATTCGATCTCTCGATAATTTGAATTGCTGTGTAAATCGATAAGAAACCGAGTCCCGTTTCGACTATATATATGTATATACATACATCTATAGCCTAAGCTACAGCCCTGATCACAGCAAATATCAGCTGAAGCCAATTGCTGCTGCGCTTCTGGCTAGACAATGTTGCTGATAGGTCAGCGACTGTCTGCTGCAGCTGCGTTTCCTACACATTATATAATATTATTTGTATTTATATATACACATACATATGTATATATACATATATAGACATTAGCTCACCTTTGAATTTGAGTGCCACTCGAGATGCGTTGCGGATACGACATATTGGCAACTTGTTGCTGCTGCTGCTTCTGCTGCTGTTGCTGCTGCTGCTGCTGCTGTTGTTGTTGCTGCTGTTGCGCTGCTTTATTTTGCTGCTGCTGCTGCTGTTGATTAGTTGCTGCTGCCTGATGCTGGTGCTGCTGCTGCTGCTGCTGTTGCTGTTGCTGCTGATGATGATGTAGATGATGGGACGTTGGTCCATTATCATGCACTTGATGTGACGAAGCAGCGTTGCCTGCTGCTGCGTTGTGTTGCTGCTGATTGCTGGCAATACGTTGCTGTTGCTGATGTTGCTGCTGCTGCTGCTGCTGCTGTTGTTGCTGTTGCTGTTGCTGTTGCTGCTGCTGCTGCTGATGATGATGCTGATGGTGATGAAGTTGTTGCTGATGTTGCAATTGCTGCTGCTGCTGCTGCTGTTGTTGGTGTTGCTGATGTTGCTGATGCTGCTGATGTTGCTGATGTTGCTGATGCTGCTGCTGCTGTTGTCCACCGTTTGTGGCGTTGTTTGTGGGCGGCGGAGCACCGACCTGCACTGAAGAGGAGCGTATAGCTGCTTCCATTTCATGCCGAACTCTTTTGGCTTAAACACTTGTTGTTCCGCCCAGAAGTTGTTGTTGTTGTTGCTGTTGTTGCTGTTGTTGCTATTATTGATGTTGTTGTTGCTGCTGCTGCTTCTACTGATTGAAATGTAATGTTGCTGCTGCTGCTGCTGCTGTTGTTGTTGTTGTTATTGGTTTTATCACTGAGCTGCTCGCATGCAACAACATTGCACTGCAACATATTCACAACATGAGCAATTGTTTCTGTTTACTCGTTACTTGTTGTTGTTGTTGTTGTTATAATTATTATTATTAATGTTGTTGTTGTTGTTGTTGTTATTGTTGTTGCTGTCAATAAAACAGCAACAACATTTAGCTTGCGCGCTTTTGAGACGCCATGCAGCTGCCTGCACTTGTATTTCGAGTTGTTGTTGTTGTTGTTTGCTTTGCTTTGCTTTGTTTTGTTTTGTTTGGTTATAAATGAATTTGTTGTTGTTGTTGTATTATTATATTAAACATTTGCCTATTTACACACACACTGCGACTGCTGAAAAAAGACAAAGATGGAAGAAAAAAACCTCTTATAATTTTCGCACACACGCACACACACAGTGAGAGAGCGACAGAGACAGGGAGTGAGGGAAACAATGGCCAGTGAAGTGAAGTGTGGCAACGTCGCAGGCGCATGCCCTGTTGCCAGTTTTCACTAAACACACGCGTTTTATCCTTCTCGTTGCACAGAAACCAAACAAAAAAAAACACACAGAAAAAAAATTATTTTAAAACTTGATTTAAAAAAAAAACCTTTTGGAAACAACATGTATTTTTTCATATTTATTTTATGCTCGCGAAAAACAAACGCGCACAAAAAACATTTGAGAAAACTTTTCTCATTTTTCATTCTTTTTTTTTTATTTATTTATTTATATAATTTTCTTTTTTTTTTAGTGGTCGAAAAAAAACTGGTGACACATATTTGGTAGGCGTAGTGGGCGTGGTGGCTAGCTAAATGCTTTTCTAGGAATATATACAGTGTATCTATTCGTGTGCGTGCGTGTGTGTGTGTGTGTGTTGATTAACAAATTAGTTAGTTTTCATTTTTGATTTGATTTCATTTTGTTAGTTTCTCTCTTCTTCTGTTTCGTCAGTTAAGTTGCGAAAATTTTCCATTAATTAACAACTTTTGCGCACACACTTTTAATTTAATTCATTATTTAATATGATTTGTATTTTAATTTCTCTTTTATTTCTCTTCATTTTTGTTGCTTTTTTTTTATTTTTGCTGAATTTTTATCAGCTGCTTTATCACTGGAAAACTTAAAAAAAAAAAATATTGGATTTCAACACAAAAACAAAAAGTTTTTCTTGATTATTTTCGCCGTCCATACAATCTGCAAAGAGAAAGAGAGAGAGGGGGAGGGGGGGGGGGGGGGAAAGAGAAAAGAGAACAAAGCATAAAATTTGATTAGTTGCCACATACGATCAAGATATAAGACAAGATATAGATAAGATATAGCAAGACGTACTATCGTATATGTATGTATATAAAGATGTGTATAGATATATGTACATATATTCATATGTAGAGCTAAATTGGCTCTATTTGAATATTATACGAGTGATAAGAATATCTAGACAGATAATTTATGGCACGCACATACATATTGTTGTTCCATACGTACATACATACATTGTATGTATGTATGTATATACAGTGTATCACCATAATCTGCCTACACTAGAAACTATTTGCTTTGCGAACAAATAAAACATATATGTATCTATATATACATATATACAATACATACATATGGTTTTTTTAGCTCCAAAATTTATACTCTTGTTAACTGCTTAATTAACTGTACTCTACAAAAGAAATAATGTCTATCGGTCGTTTAGTTTAAAAGTTACAACTAAAATATCATGAAAAACACGTTTTGTTTTCTTCAATAAAGCTTTACCTAGGTCTTTAGACAGACACACATAAGACAAATTTAACTACAATGGGTATTATTACAAATATGTATATTGTATATATGTGGTATATATAAATTTATATACACATTATATACATACATATGTATATACATACATGCATATGTATAAACATATCAAGTTAATTTTTGTTTATTATTATTATCGCACTTCTATGACAAAATATGATACTACGTCTGGCACATACATACATATACACATACATACATATGTATATAAAATTTCAAGTCTCTTGTGAGATCTCTTTGTTCATAAGGACAGACAGACATGCAGACAGACAACAGCTCAGCTCGCCATTCAGATCAAGTGTCCATATATAGACTCTACGGGGTCTGCCACGCCTCCTTCGACCTGTTAGATACATTTTCACAAAAACTGTTGTAGACTGATTTCCCGAGTATAACTATAAATCACCTACGAGAGATCTATAAATTTGCCTTGTATATGATTTTTATAATCCTTTCAAGAACACGTCGAAAATGAGCAACTCAGCATATATCCGTATATACTTAAATCAGATCTGAAGTAAACCTTTTAAGAAATGCCTAAACTATGGTACGACATTGACAAACTGTAGGAATATACATATATATATATACATACATATTGTATATATTATACTATTTGGCTATATATAGTATATTTAATATGTATATAAATGTACGTACACGTATCCCCTATTAAAAACCTTTACAATCTTTATACATATATAATCCTAAATACAAATATCTGTTAATGTTTCAACATATTATCAAATTCTATTTCTTACCTTCCGTATTTCGTAATTTATTGGCACACTTGCTTTTAAAAATACTTTCTGAAACACTTAACACGCTTTTTGACAGTAGCAATTGAGCAACAATAAAAATAATATTTGAAAAAGAAAAAAAGATTTTCTTTTCATTTATTTTGCAATAAATTTATTTTATAGCCGTCAGGCGACACATTTATATACATATGTATACATATGTATGTATGTATGTACATTTCTATATATGTATGTATATCGAGTTTTATATTCGAATATTTCATTCATATTTATATCTGGCACACACACACATACACATACAGAGGCACACTCACTAGTATATTACATATAACCGTAATCGCTATCACATATCGAATATTTATTTGCTATCACCACTCGTGTATGATAAGCTCGCTTATCACTGCCTAAGAATTTAAGAATCGCTTATCAGCTCGGCCGCCGTCGCCGCAAACCCCTCGAATTAAAGTCCAGAATATGAGAATAACAATTTCACTAAGTCCATATCTGTCGGTCACTCTTTCCCTCTCTCTCTATCTCTCTCGCTCTCACTCCTTTTTTTTTTATTCACTCTCGTAGGCTAATTTTCGACGCATTTGCGGTATTCCCAGGTGCCCGCAGCAGCTTTACAGAGATATTTACGCGTGTGTTGCCTACGTGCAAAACAGAAAACAGAAAACAAAAATCAGAAGCATCAGCGGGAGCGACCGCAAAAAGTAACAGCGGCGATACAACAGCAAGCAGCCGAAGTAGAAACGGAAAAAAAGAGAAAAAAAAAACCCTGGCAGTGTCGACAAACTGGAAACTGAAATGATGAAACTTGGCAACAGCGCGCAGTCACATGTTTAGTTGGCGCTGGTAAGCGCTGATGCCGCTGAGCCACGGACGCCGTCGCCGCTGTCGCTGCTGCTGCTGTTGTTGGTCAGCAACATTTTTGTTATTGTTGTTGCGTTTAATGAAACCAATTAAACTGCACAGCCACAAATAAATAAAAACAATAACAATTAACAGCTGGCAGGCAGCAGCAGCAACAACAACAACAACAGCAGCAATAACAATTCGCAATGCACATACAGCGACACATAGAGCTGAGCAACTTTTAGTAAATTAAATTCACACTATGAAAATTGCACAGAATTTGGATTGAATTTAAGCAAACGGCAAAAACACTCATGAACATACACACACTCATACACGCTCACACTCATGCACACTCACACTCATAAACAGACGAAAATTAAGCACAAATTCCTCAAACAAGCAAAAAAAAAAAAAGTCAGCCAAGCGTCGCAACGACCAAAAGCCACGCAAAAGCAGCGACGTCGGCAGCAATAAAAATATATTCAGATCCAACAACAAACCATGCAACGTTGCCGCACTTAACACAAAGCAAAAGACAGAAAATACGTAGAAAAAAAAACTTAAGCACGCGTAAGATTAAAGCAGCGACGGCAACGTCAACGGCGGCAGCGACGCAAGCATCGAGCCAGCCAAATGCGCTGTTGACAATTTTCATCGGCCCCAGCGCAAACAAATTAATAAAAATAACAACACACGCACACAACTAACAGCAACAACAAGCAGCAGCAGCAGTAGACGACAATATGAAAAGAGGCTTAAAACTATACGTAAAAAGAAACAAGCAAAGCAGCGCAGCCAGCATCGATGCCAACAGCGTTATAATAATAATAATAATAGCATAAAAAGAAATTATAAAAAAAAGCCAACTCGAAGCTAAAGCAAAACAACGAAGAAAAAATACTGCCTCTGCCGCTGCCCCAGCACAACATCTCGCCATGTGCAAAAACGAGACAGAATGCGCCGTGCGCAAACAAACGAAGCAGAATATAAGAGAGACAGAGAGCAGAGCGTGAGCAAACGAACAAACGGCTCGGTCGTTCGTTCCGACTGTCTGACGAGCAGTTGTTACGTCGGTCGGTCGGTCGGTTGGTCGGTCGGTCGTTGTCGTTGTCGTCACAAAAGGGGAGGAAGCGGGCGAGCTATG